GTGGAGATTGTGAAAGTGGTCTCGCCGGTTGGTGATGATGCGGAGAAGCTGACTGACCCTCGTGACGAGCTTATTCCGGTGCCAGATGGGGCCGTGGAAGCTGCTGCTAAGGCAAAGGAGTCGCAGGTCTTAGAGCGATTATCCTCTGGTGTTGAAGTCGGTGAAAGCAGTGGCACCGGGGAAAATGTGGAGAAACCAACCGAGGAGGTCCGGGATTGATTTTCTGTTTCTTTTCTTTGTTATCTTCTTTTACTTGATCGAACTTGCGTAAGATAATCGGGGTGCCGGCATGTCGGCATCCTTAGTATGAAATATTTCTAAGTTTATGGTATGTAATCGGGGATGTTGGATAGCCGACTCCCTTAGTAGGAATTACTATGTAAGGGATTTTCCAGACTTTGTTCTGAAATAATATTATATATGAAGTGTTTGAATATGTTTGATTTTGTTTGTATGTTTTGCCGTTCAACTTTCAGCGATTTTCGACCAAGTGTTTTGAATTCGGCTTTCAGTAAATAAACTGCTTCAACTCGGAATTACTTAAATCATGATCCGAGTTGCAAGGTTTTATAAAGATAACTTCCGAATTCCACTTTGATCTTTTATAAGAATTTCAGCCACAAGTGTGAGTCGATTATGCGAGTTTTCAAATAACTTCGCAAAACTCAACACATTTTTAGGGCTGTACGGGAAATAAAATGGAAATCATCGGACTTCGTCAGAGTCCGATTATGGAATGGTCCCAACCGAATTATTTGAATAAGTGTTCGGTAATTATCGGGACCCGCCAAATCATTTGTAGCTGAAGTGGCGTTTGACGAGCTTCAACCCCGACCAAATCATACGTGGGATTTGGGTGTATTACAGGGTATCAGCTGGGCCGAGTGTTGCAATGTTTTACTTCGGCATGATATTGATAACCATGTTTGCAAAAGGTTTACATCGGTATCAAGCTTGCTGCTCGACTATTCGGTACATCAGTACATCAAAAGAGGTGATTTCAAGCGTTCACCGAGGCAAAAAAGAAGGTCCGTACAAAAGGGGGGTCGATTATGCGACTTCGGATCCTTCATTGATAGAATTTCTTCAGGTACACCGCGTTCCAAGGATATTGATGTGGTGTTCCATCGGGATGAGCAATTCGGTAGGCCCCATGAGGTAGGATCTTGATGATTTGAAAGGGTCCTTCCCACCGTGGTTTGAGTGGTCGGGGGTCAGGCCCCATGATACGCTTGAGGACCAAATCTCCAACTCGGAATGCACGGGGTTTGAGTTTAGAGTTGATATATTTTTCATGTCTTTGCTTGTATGCAGCATTCTTGAGTTCGGACCGAATTCGGTGTTCTTCCAGTAGGTCCAGGTTCGCCTTCATGTTTTCCGAGTTGGCTTCTTCGGTGAAATGTTGAATTCGGTAGGTCGGTTCTCCGAGTTCCACCGGGACTACGGCCTCAGAACCGTAAGTCAGAGAAAATGGGGTTTCGCCGGTGGACGTCCGTGCGG